CACTCCAGGAGACCTAGGTAGATGGATTGCTTGAGCCCATTTTTTTTCTTCTTCTTTTTTTTTTATTTTAAAGATGTGGGGTACAATTCAGGGTTAGGTATACAAATATTCATTATGCAGGTACCTTTGTTGATGAGTTGTGGCCCCACTCCCTTCCCCAGGCAGATTCCCACTACTGCCAATCCCACTTTCCTGCTCTCTAGAGCCCACTTTAAATATAAAGATTCAAATTAAAAGTGAAGGGGAGCCGGGCTCAGTGGCTCAGCCTGTAATTACAGCACTTTGGGAGGCTGAGGTGAGTGGATTGCCTGAGCCCGCGGGTTCGAGACCCGCCTGGACAGTGAGACCTCATCGCTACAATAAATCAAAAAATCAGCTGGGTGTAGTAGCGCATGCCTGTAATTCCGGCTACTCGGAAGGCTGAGGCGAAAGGATCGTCGGAGCCCAGCAGGCGAGGCTGCGGTGGCCGGGAGCGGCCACTGCACTCCAGTCTGGGCGACAGAGTGAGACTCCAACTCAAAAAAAAAAAAAAAAGTGAAGGGATAGAGAAAGACATACCATGCTAAGCTAAATCAAAAGAAAGCTGGAGCATCTTTATTTATTTCAAACAAAGCTGAACTGTTTTCAAGGATAAAGAGGGGCAGTTCATGATGTTTCCAGGAAAACATAATCTTTTGTGTATATGCACTTAACAATAGAGCATCAAAATATGTGAGACAAAAACTGATAGAACTCTAAGGAAAAAATAGGCAAAGTCCACTATTACATTCGGAGACTTCATTCAACGTTCCTCTATCAGGAAACGATGGACCCAGTAGGAGTTAGGATGCAGTTGAACTCAACAGCACCATCAGTCAGCTGGACTGAATCAACATCTATAGACTTCTTATCCAGCAATGTCAAAATACTCATTCTTCTCAGGACCACATGGAACATTCACCAATGCAGACTACATACTGGCCATAAAACACACCTCAAACTATTTAAAAGAAAAGAAATCGCTTGGCTCGGTGGCTCAGCCTGTAATCCTGCACCTTTGGGAGGCTGAGGTGAGTGGATTGTCTGAGCCCGCGGGTTCGAGATCCGCCTGGGCAGGCGAGACCTCATCTCTACAATAAATCAAAAAACTAGCCGGGTGTGTTAGCACGCGCTGTAGTTCCAGCTACTTGGAAGGCTGAGGCAGAAGGATCGCCGGAGCCCTGCAGGTCGAGGCTGCGGTGGCCGGGAGTGGCCACTGCACTCCAGTCTGGGCGACTAAGTGAGACTCCAACTCAAAAAAAAAAAAAGAAAAGAAATCATACAAAGTTGCCCTCAGGTAGCAGTGGAATTAAACTAGAAATTAATAACAGAGAGATAGCTAGAAAAGCAGAAAATATTTAGAGTTTAAACAACACATTTCTAAATAACACCTGGGTACAGAAGATGTTGAAGGGAAATTTTTTAATGTTTTGAACTAAATAAAAGTGAAAATACAATTTAACAAATTTTATGGTATACCGTGAAAGCAGTGCTTAGTAGGACATCTATAGCACTAAATGCATATATTAGAAAAGAAGAAAGATTTAATATCAGTAATCCAAGTTTCCACTGTAGAGAACTAGAAAAAGAAAAGCAATATAAACCCGAAGCATCATATGGAAAAAAATCATCAAAGCCAATATCAGGAATGAAAGAGAAGATATCACTACAAACTCCACAGACATTAAAAGATAAATAAAAATAAATAAATAAAAGGGAAATAAAGTAATTACACAATCAACTTTGCACACATAAATTTGGCAACCTAGGTAAAATGGATCAATTCTTTGATGGCTACAAGCTGCCAAAACTCACCCAAGAATAAATAGAAAACCTAAGTAATCCTTTGTCTATTAAAAAACTGAATTTGAGCTGGGCTCGGTGGCTCAGCCTGTACTCTCACACTTTGGGAGGCTGAGGTGAGTGGATCGCCTGAGCCCACGGGTTCAAGACCCACCTGGGCAACTTGGCGAGACCTCATCTCTACAATAAATCAAAAAATTAGCCGGTCGTGGTAGCGCACGCCTGTAGTTCCAGCTACTTGAAAGGCTGAGGCGGAAGGATTGCCAGAGCCCAGGAGGGAGCGGCCACTACACTCCAGTCTGGGCAACAGAGTGAGACACCAACTCAAAAAAAAAAAATTGAATTTGTAGTTTAAAGTCTTCTTTAAAATAAATCTGCAGCCCCAAATGGTTTCATCAATAGCAAATGCTACCAATATTTAAAATGAAATAATATGTGCACTACTCAGTTTCATCCAGAAAATAGAAGAGAAGGAATGCTTCCTAACTCATTTTATGAGAGGAACATTGCCATGATACTAAAACCAGATTTTAAAAGTACAGGAAAACAAATATGAATCAATGAATTATGAATCAATATCCCTCATGAAAATAGATGCAAAATACAAACAAATCAAAAATAGATGCAAAATACTAACAAATTATATAAAAATAATTACATACCGTGATCAAGTGGGACTTATCTTGGGGATGCAATATTTGAAAACCAATAAATGCAGTTTGTAACAGGACTGTATCGATTTATGATAGAAAAGTCAGTAACAAAATGCAATGTCAATTCATGACACAAGCATTCAGCAAATGAGGAACAGGAGGGACCACTCTAAAACTAATAAAGCACACCTGCAAAAAAGTCTATAACTAACACCATTCCCTTATATAACTAACACTTCTTTCCCCCTTATGGAATGAGGCAAGGAAGTCCACCTCACCCTCCTATTCAACATGGCACAGGAAGTCCTATCTTGTGAAATAAGGCAATTAAAATTAATAAATACAGACAGGAAAGCAGGAAACGAAACTGCCTCTATTCACAAACAACATGACTGCCTATGTAGAAATTCTCATGGATTCCACACAAGCTTCTAAAACCAATACATCATTTCCCATAAAAGAAAATTTTTGAAAAAAAATACATCATCAGTTCAGCAGTTTGTAAAATAAAAGGTTTAAAAACAAAAACCAACTGCATTTCTTTATAATGGTAATAAATATTTGGAAACTAATTTGTTTTAAATTACAGTAGCTTAAAAAAAATACTTTTCCATAAATCTAACAAACCACGTATAGGATCTATATGATGAATACTATAAAATGCTGCTAAAGAAATAAAAAGAAACCTAAATAAATGGAAAAACATACCATATTCATAGACTGAAAGACTCAATATAGTTAAGATGCCAATTCTTCTCAAACTGGTCTACAGATTTAACAAAATTGTAATCAAAATTCCCAGCAGGATTTTTTATTTTTTGAGTTGGAGTCTCACTCTGTTGCCCAGACTGGAATGCAGTGGCACACTCCTGGCCACCGCAGCCTCAACCTGCTGGACTCCGACGATCCTTCTGCCTCAGCCTTCCAAGTAGCTGAAACTACAGGCACGCACTACCACGCCCGACTAATTTATTTATTTATTTATTGTAGAGATGAGGTCTCGCCAAGTTGCCTAGATGGGTCTCGAACCCGTGGGCTCAGGTAATCCACTCACCTCAGCCTCCCAAAGTGCAGGATTACAGCCTGAGCCACCGAGCCCAGCTCCAGCAGGATTTTTAAAAACAATATAGACAAGCCTAAAATGTATATAGAAAGTCAAAAGAAGTAAAATGCCTGAAC